TATACCTTCTGATCCCCGGGCAATTCCAACCAATCACAAGGCAGTCCTTTCCCGCCTTGCGCATGCGCGCAAGGCCGGCGCCGCTCAGTCTGGTCCCGGGCAGCTTTTGCAAATGCCCGGGACTCTTGCAACTTCCCGCGCCTGCTTCTGCAGGCACGGGACACAACAAATTCTGTTCTACTCTAATTCTGTTAAGGAGGGGACCGCAGGCAGAAGCTTCCCTTTCATGCCAGGTTTTTAATGTTTACTGTGTTTTAATAGATGAACGTCTTGTGTTGTTTTATGATTGATGTTGGTTTAATCATTGTTTGGGAGACCCCTCCCCCCCAGAGTTCCATATCATATGGGCAGCTATATAAATGTTTTAAATAAATGAATAAGTAAACAGAATCTGATTCACCTCCAGTTGGAGCCATGTGTCTTTGGCCTGTTGACAAATCTTTTGTGCAAAGAAGTTACTTTCTGGTTTTAGACCAAAACCCCCTTCTAAAATAAAAGAATTTCTCTAATAGAAATCCCTCCCCTTATAAGTAATAGAACAGGGCTTTTCAACCAGTGGCACGGATACCACCTGTGGTACATTGGCACCTGGCAGGTGGTATGCGACCATCCTGGAAAAGTGGTAACGGGGAAGGGGAATGAGCTGAACCGGTGGCAGCACCACACAAGCCTGAGCGAGAGACGGCTGGAGCTGCAGGGCTGTCAGGGCTCAGCAGAAGCGCCAGGATCAGCACCAGGATCCAGCTAGAGCTCAGTGCTGATCCTGGTGCTTCTGCTGAGCCCAGAAGAAGCACCAATCAGCTGGAAAACAGCACTGATCCTGACACTTCTGCTGAGCCCTGAAGAACCGCCGATCAGCTGGAATGTTGCAGCATCTCCAGGGTCTTGTGATTTACATTCAGATGCTTGGCAACCGATTCATACTTATGACGGTCACAGTGTCCCAGGGTCATGTGAAGTGACCAAAACCTGCTCCAACCACCCAGCAGACGGGGGAATAAAAACCAAACACCCCCCCACCCCACCCCCGCTGCCAATCCTGAACAGAAATGCTCACAACAATGAAAACCTCGGACAGGAGGAAGAGCGCGGCCGGGCGGGCAGGCAGGCGTCTTGCTCGGCTGTGGCTTGGGGGGCACTTTTTTCAGTGCCATTGTAACTTCGAAGAGTCACTAAGCGAACTGTTGTAAGTCAAGGACTATCTGTACTTTATCACTTTTTTCCTTTTCTTTTTTTTTTGGGTCATGAAGTTTTTGACACCTTACTAGGCGACTGGTAGTCCTCGGATATTGCCATATCCTAAAAGTGGTACAATGGGTGAAAAGGTTGAAAAGCCCTGTAATAGAATATCCTTTTTTTTCTGAATTCCAAACAAACCATTTCTTATAGGTGAGAAGTAAGGAGATGAATTCTTACGTCTTTACAAGGCTGTGATAGAGTCCAGGCAAAGACTAGCAGAGAGGGTTTTTTTGCTACATGGTTAATATTAAGCCACGAATGATATTTTGTTGTGTTTGTTTGTTAAGTATTTAACTGTATAAAGCTTGGAAGGAGCAACAGATGGAGCTTCACCTGGATTTCACTGTGAGGACTCTGGGACCCTGTTGGTTGTTACTGACGTTGTTATACCTGTTGATTGGGTGCCACCCAGAGTTGAATATCAGATGGGCAGCTATGCAAATGTTTTAAATAAATAAGTAGAATCCGAGTCAGCTCCAGTGAGTCAAGTTGTCTGTCTTTAGGCTTTTATTAGATCTTTTGTGCAAAGAAACCACTTCCTGGTTTTAAGATCAAAATTCCCTTTTCAAGAAAAGAAATTTCTCCCACCTTCCCCCCCCCAGAACCCCCCCTCTTTGCCTTGCCTTTGCCTAGACCAGGGATAGGCAACCTTGGCTCTTTTATGACTCGTGGACTTCAACTCCCAGAATTCCTGAGCCAGCACAGCTGGCTCAGGAATTCTGGGAGTTGAAGTCCACGAGTCATAAAAGAGCCAAGGTTGCCTACCCCTGGCCTACACTATAAATCCTTCTACTCACTTCTGCAGCAGACTTGCTATCCAAGGAGGCAAATGTGATGAGGGAAAATTAAGACTGCAACCAAAAACATTAATCAGCTTTGCTAAACATAGGAACAAAAAAAAAAGCCAGCTTTGCATGGAAATGCATGGATAAGATAGTTGAGCTAAGCAGGAGAGCAGCCTCATAAAAGCACAAGGCCAGAGGCACGGTTTGCTTTGTGTAACTCCCGTTGTGCTTTAGGCACAAGGCATGCGGGAGGGAGCAAAACCACAGGCTCACAATTATTGCTCAAATATTACTAAACAAAGCATGTAGAACGCACCACCTTGCTGAAATGACAGCTAGTTATGAAAGCTTCTGGACAACCTATGTACACGTGTGTCTGTGTTGTTTTAACTGCTGTGGGAGTTTAGGCCATTAACGGGAAAAGAGGGCAACACGACACCCTAATGTTCATGTTTGTGGGTTTTGTGGTTTAGGGGTATAAAAGACTTGGCAGAGGACAACCTCCCCATCTCCTTCTACACAGCGCAACATCGTCCTGCTTCAGCCTCCACCTCAGTTGAGCTTCAGCACTCCAGATAAGGACCCAGGACAGGTGAGTGCTGCTCTCCCACCTGTGGGGGACAAGACAGGTGAGGTCTTTGCATCAGATCACTCCTGCATACCTCTCTCCATCTGAAGGGACCTCTTCCAGGGGGCTGCAGGCAATGTCCAGGTTCCACCAGAGGATCTGTGGGAGGGTCTCTCAGGCAGGGAGCAAGGGATCTATTGGGGATCCCTGTGGGAGAGAGAGAGAGAGAGACCCACAGAAGAGTCTTTCTAAGGGAGGCTCCTGACCATTATACAGTACTGCTGTTGCATGACCACGCAAGGGGAAATGGGGTCCAGCTGGTCAAATCCCCAAATCATGGGACTCCCAGCTTGGCCCTGGGTTGAATGTTGGGTCCCCCTTCCTGATGGGGTCTTTCCATGAGCCTGGTTCACCCTCCCACTTCTTCCCCCCTCTGTTCTTCTCTGCAGGGAAAAAAGGAACACCATGATGCATTTTCTCTTTGTGAGCCTCAACTTGCTGCTGGTGGCCCTAAGTGGTGAGTTCAACCAGGTGTCTCTCATGTCGGGAGAGATTAAAGCATCTTGCAACCAACCCCCTTCCTGATTTGAGCCCCCAGAAGCCTCTCCCCGAGGTTGCTTTTATTTCTGTTTGGCTTATTGTGCAACTTAGATCTCACCTTATCTCTCTGCTCCAAGACCCAGGACTGCGTGCAAGGACACAAAGCAAAATTAACACCATCAAAATAGTTAAAAGCTTGGCGAAGGATCCCTCCTTTTATCATTACACATTGAGTGCCTCTCGCCCACAAATAGCCATCCCTGAAACCCCTTGAGTAGTTATGGGTCAGCCAAAAGGCCACTGCAGATCCTCTAGAACTGACCCACTCGATCCCTATACTCTGGTCTACGACCTGGTTCTTGAAGGAACCCATTTTGTGGCTTAGCACAGTTCACTGAATGACACACCAATCAAAGTGGACAGGTTCACACAAGATGTGAAGCTTCAAGGAAATAAACCAAGGACCAAACTGACCCCATTGTTGGACCTTCTGCAAACACAGCTGTTGTACTTGGAACCCAAATCAGTTTCAATTTATTGTCATCAAAGATGATTTGATGGTTAAGAATGTTCTGCCAACCCAACTGTCTCCTCCTCCTCCTCTTCCTCTTCCTCCTCCTCCTCCTTCTCCTTCTCCTTCTCCTTCTCCTTCTCCTTCTCCTTCTCCTCCTCCTCTTCCTCCTCCTCTTCCTCTCTGCAAACTCCCCTCCAGCACTGATGAAGTTACCTAATTTGGTAATGAAACATCTACCAAGCTCAGAGAGCACCAAGGACCCCACAGTCCTCCTCCTCCTCCTCCTCCTCCTCCTCCTCCTCCTCTTCCTCTCTGCAAACTCCCCTCCAGCACTGATGAAGTTACCTAATTTGGTAATGAAACATCTACCAAGCTCAGAGAGCACCAAGGACCCCACAGTCCTCCTCCTCCTCCTCCTCCTCCTCCTCCTCCTCCTCCTCCTCCTCCTTTTTTTCCTGGTCATCTTCTTGTTGGGCTTTCTCTCTTCTCACACAGGAGTGAAAAGCTGTTGTTGTCCCCACGATTGGCTCCCCATGAACAGGCTGTGCTACAAGGTCTTTGATGACCAAAAGAACTGGAACGATGCAGAGGTTAGAAGTTCTTGTGTGTCTGTGAACCTCCCAGCCCAGGCAGAGGAGAAGTCTAGGGAAAGCCTTGCACAGCCCCCCAAGTCCCCTCTGGCTGGGCTGAAGTAGAGGGCCACTAGGCTGGGAGCATGAAAAAATAGCAAAGGTCCTGATTTTAGGACAGTCTGAAATGCGAGTATTCCCTGGACTATATACCGGTTTAGGCTTTCATGGCCGGTATCTGTAGGCCACCTCAAGTGAGGGGATCTCAGATTTTGAACCATGAATCATGAATTTAAATCAGGAACTGTTCAAGAGCTGCAGATACCAGCAAAGTCATCTATGGCGGTCAACAAGGCTCAGATGGTGCTTAGGACCATCTGGTGGGAATCAGATCTTCGTTCTTTTCTCACATGGAGACACACACACACACACACACACACACACACATGTTTCTTTTCTGTGTTGTTGCTCTCTCCCAGATGTTTTGCAGGAATTACAAGCCAGGCTGCCACCTCGCCTCCATCCATAGCAGGGCAGATTCCGCTGAACTGGCCGAGTATGTCTCCGACTATCTCGAAAGTGACGGAGACGTCTCGATCGGACTGAACGATCCACAGAAAGTAGGTCCTTTCTGTCGATAATATTTTTCAATTTGTTTGCTCTTGTTTCTAAGGATCTTCCAATGGGAGGGATCTCTCTGATAAAAACTCTGGCCTTGGGCAAAACCGTTTCTCCTGCCCCCTCACCCACCCTTCCTGCCCAGTTGAAGAAGCGACTGCAGTCTTTAAAGTCCCAAAGAAATGGATTTTATCCCAACTTCATCTCACTCAGACCCTCCCTCGGCCTGCCTTGCCCTTTTTGGCCCACTGAATGGCCTCTGAATGGAGACTCTGGTGGGCCATCAACTGAGGGACTGCAGGAAGGGCTGGGAGGGCTGTTTTTTCCTTCCACCTTTTTTTATTTTATGCACAAATTGCTCATTTCTGTGACCGGTAGGATTTCGTCTTCTGCTACGATAAGATAAGATAAGATAAGATAAGATAAGATAAGATAAGATAAGATAAGATAAGATAAGATAAGATAAGATAAGATAAGATAAGATAAGATAACCTTTATTGTCATTTTTTTTACTGTGGGCACAACGGCACACATCAAAAATGAAATTGAGTTGCCCGCTCTCGAAGTGAAACACATACATGACACACACCTAAACATACTATGATCAACATAAGTATAGACCCACACCCCTACATGTACGTAGCAAATAAATATTAAATACTGTCCATCTTGAATATATAACGGAAGGAGGAGGAGGGAGCGCTGTTGCATTTTCAATTCCTGAAAAATGCTGGATGACAATGTACAAAGAAGGGACGCTTCCCTGGAATTGAGCTCAGCTCCTGGTGACTTTAAGAGTAGAAATGTTAATTTCTGGCAATAACACAGAAGTAGGTCCTCCCCCCCCCCCACTTACAAATTCCCAGGATGCTTTTCAGTCTGACCTACAGCTCTGGGTGTCTGTTGGCAGTTCCCCACTCAAGGACTCATTGGCTTTGACCCTTCTGAGATCAATTGGTGTTAACCGAGTTGGTGACTTCATGGACATCTCAAGGTAGTTTTCTCCTGGGGTATCTTTTCTCTGGCTCTCCTGATTGTCACCTATCCAAACATTCATCAAATTTAACCTCGGTTAGCTGTTCCAGATCAACTGAGGTTGACTAGATAGATAGCGAAAGAGAAAGAGTAAGAGAGACAGAGAGAGAGAAAGAGAGAGAGAAAGAGAGAGAAAGAAGAAGAAGAAGAAGAAGAGGAAGAAGAAGAAGAAGAAGAAGAAGAAGAAGAAGAAGAAGAAGAAAGAAGAAGAAGAAAGAGAGAGAGAGAGAGAGAGAGAGAGAGAGAGAGAGAGAGAGAGAGAGAGAGAGAGAGAGAGAGAGAGAGTCTATTTGCCCCTTGCCAACTTTTCATCTCTGCTCCTGGGCCATGCAGACAGAGACCCCCCTCCTCTGTTGGCTAACTGTGGCTTCCTTTTCATTCTAGAATGGCATCTGGGAGTGGACAGACAGATCCAGCACCAACTACACATCCTGGGATTCAGGAGAGCCCAACAATCAACAGAACAAAGAGTACTGTGTTGAGCTCCTGGCCAAAAGAGGTGAGCCAAGGTGGACGGGGGGGTGTTGAAGATGCCCTTTAAACAATGAGGACCCATTTCATCCTGCTTGGAGCCCCCACCAGTTGGCAGCTGATGACCTTTTTTGACCCCTTGGATGCTAAGCTCTCACAGCCTGACCCTCTATACAGTCAAGGGAACACAAAACACCCGTGGGATAAACACAAATGGAACTCATCACTTCTTCAAAAACCCAAACTTAATTATTACAGCCCCATAATTAAACCAACAATTTCCATATCAACCTACTTCTTAAAGGTCATTGTTGTCACAGGAGATACAACTTTTTGTTCTTTCTTTCCTTGCTTAAATATCCAACTTCAACTCCATTGCAGTGGGACGAATCTCAGCCACTCAGTGTTTAGAGAAGAGAAAAATTAATACAGGTCCAGTCTAATTGTAAACCAATCACAAGAACAGCCCAAAACTCCAGAAAAAAGCAAAAGAAACATAAGATAACTATAAGAATAAAGATCAGATGTCCATGGAGATTCCCAACCATCCAGGTACGGTTGACCCAAAGGTGCTTTTTCAAGAGGCAACTGGGCTTTCTTGTGTTTCTTTGGAAGATGTTTCGCTTCTCATTCAAGAAGCTTCTTCAGCTCTGACTGGATGGTGGGGAGTGGAAGGATTTATATTGCTTGCAGACAGCTGGTCATAAAGATCAGAAATAAAGATCAGGAATTAAAAAAAACCCAGACTCTTCTCTGATGCCCCCCTCCCAACTTCATGCAAGTGGAAATTCTTTAGCATCAGCCCATCCTCACTGAGGCAACGCAGGGTCTGTCCTCATTCACTGCAGGTTGGATGCAGGAGAGGTTCAGGAGATAACTGGCTTTCTTTATTTCCCCTCCAAACATCACCCTCAGCTGCTCTCCTGAAGGTGGGACCAGGCCGGGGAGGAGGAGGAGGAGGAGGAGGAGGAGGAGGAGGAGGAGGAGGAGGAGTGGATTGGCAGATGGCTAGCCCAGGGGTAGGCAACCTTGGCTCTTTCATGACTCGTGGACTTCAACTCCCAGAATCCCTGAGCCAGCCACGCTGAGGGGAAAGGGAGAGGTTTCCAAGCTGAGCCATGCTGGCTCAGGAATTCTGGGAGTTGAAGTCCACCAGTCATAAAAGAGCCAAGTTGCCTACCCCTGGGCTAGACCGATGGCTGTGGTCATCTGTCCAAACTGGCTCTGGTTTTGCACAAGACTTTTGCACTCCAAGGGAGCCTGACTACCTGCCAGTGGACAACATCACAATAGCAGCACAGAATGTATTTCTTGAGTCTTGATGTCAGGAGGCCAGCACAAAGGCAGACATTTGTATTACAACGTTGTTTCATTTGTTTTTGATCACAGCAATTTATAATGGAATCTAATGGGTTGGATCCAAACCTTCACCCAGTAGATCCCTTTGAAGCTAAGCTGGTCTGTTGTGGCTATGTTGGCAAAATGGCCCCAAAGGCTGCTTATGAAATGGCTGCCACAGACACACATATTTGAGACCAACCCCACCCATTTCTCCAATGGAAACAGAGCCCCTTCCTTCCGGGACCCCCCAGGACATGAACCTTCACCCCAACTTACCTACCTCTTTTCTGGGCTGGAAGTCTTCTTCTCAACTAAGCATGTTCTTCTTCCTTTTGAAGAAGAAAGACCCTCAAAAAGACCCCTGCTAAAGGAAACCACTGGTGAGCCCGGTGGCCGATCGTCTTTGCCTTAAAAGCTGCGAAACAAAGAGTTCACTCGCAACACACGTGCCTCGCTGTGAGGTCCTGTTGGGTGTGTGGGGCAAAGCAGTGGGAAGATGGGTTCACATTGGAAATGAATCTTTCTGTTTTGCTCTCAAGCATATCTCAAATGGAATGACATGCCGTGCGAAACCGAGCAACCTTTCATCTGCCAGGGCAAATTCTAACACACACCACACTTTCTCCCACTCCGGAGGGAGAGAAGCACCTGGTGAAGTCTGGAGAAGCAATGAAGCCCCCCACCCACCACCCCACCACCCAACACCTCACCTGCTCCAATCTCTCCTCTGCCCCCTTCGCTCAATGGATGCTCTCTGTAGCTGGGATCTGGTTTTGCTGCTCCTGATGGGCCAGAAGGTCCAATAAATTCTGCCTAGCATGACTGGCCTTGTTTCTTTGGGGCCCCCAGGAGACGGTTGAGGCCCAAAGCTCCAGACAACCCCAGTCCCCTTCCTGGCAGGGCTCAGCTTTAGGGGGGGGAGGTTATCTCTTAAGAAGGATCATCGGTTGTTGCGTTGATGCTTTCTTGCATGTCCACCTCATTTTAATTGGAGGGTTGAGAATCTGTTGGGCCTCAGCACCAATTTACTGCTGCCAAAGATGATTGGCACATGATTTCCACTCTGCTGGAAAAGGCATAAGAGTGGGATGGTGGGGTGGGACCCTGAAGGCCAGGGCTGTGCTAGACTACTCTGTCAGGGTTGCAAAGATCTGGAGGGCACCAAAGTGCTTGTGATGCTTCTAGTCCTCAGTGCCCTCTAGCAGTCCAAGGTCTTAGGGGGAACCTAACCTAACCTCAGCTCTCCCTCTGCCAGCAGCCTGTGTTGCTTCCATATCTGGGGAGAAAAGCCCCACTGCTGGGGGATTTTTTTCATCTGGCCTTTGAAGGAGTTATGGGCATTCACTGTCCGAGCTGCCTTGTTTTCTTGTAGACAAGACCCAACTAGGAAGCATCATCAGTGCTAGAAGGGGGAGGAGTTTGCAGAGAAAAGGGAGAAGAAGAGGAGGAGGAGGAGGAGGAGGAGGAGGAGGAGGAAGAGGAAGAGGAAGAGGAAGAGGAGGAGGAGGAGGAGGAGGACTGTGGGGTCCTTGCTGCTCTCTGAGCTTGGTGGTTTTCTTGCAGATGTTTCATTTCCAAACTAGGTAATACAGTCAGTGCTAGAGGGGAGGGGGCGGAGGAGGTGGAACTTCAAATTTCCCCCCTCTACAACTCACAAAAAAAGGAGGAAACAGGAGAAAGTAAGTGGTTAGGTGAGGAGACTTGAACTGCAATCAACTTCAATGAACAAGGACATGCAATTCAATTGCTCAGCTACTAAGATTGTTGGCTGAGCAGGGACAAAAATAGCCAGAGAAATGTTTGAAGTCTGGGAAACAGGCCCCTTGTAGTCAACAGGAGTGCTGATTTACCCCCAGTTTACCATGTACTTAGGAGCTGAGGGTGCAGCAGCCCAAGAAAACAACAATCAATGACTTAATAGCCAGCCATCAACAACCCAATTAACAACTAAAAGGCACGCCCAACCAGGCACAAATACTCTGCATAGAACAGCCCAGCTGCACACATTCTGGAGAGTGAGAAGATTCCTAAGGAGGGCTCTGGAACGAGTCTGAAAGCTCGGAAGAATAAACCTCTGGTCCCAGTGACCGACTCAGATTGGATCCTGCCACGTTACCCTGGGACACTTATACTTGCCTTCATTTGCATGTGTTACCTTTTCTATCCGCTTGGCTGTTGTTTATCTTCTTCTCTCTCCTTCTATCTTCCCCAGAATTAAAGTCTCGTCTGGAGAGCTAGATTTTTGCACAATGTCTACAAAGTAGGATAATTTGACCTTGGACCATAAGCCCCTTTTGCAGATAGCACTCTGAGGAATACCAGCCTTGGGGTTTCCTTTGCACCTTGACCTTTGATCTAGGAACCCTCAGAGCTGATCTGCCCTCAGTGAGAAGAGGGAACTTTTTAAGGAAAGGAGCATCCTTGCTTTCCAGCTCAAACACTCCGGAAGAGACACGACTGGGGTCTCACCAGAGCCGGCAGGAGGAGCCAATTAACCAGAAGGTGACCATCACGAATGCATGACTTTCTTTCAGCTTTTGCTGGTTAATGTTTTTGGTCTGGTTTGCTTCAGCGATCCTCCAGCTACCCACCCTGCATGGACCTTTTTCCACTCCAGGGGGACATTATTTCCACAAATCCACGTTTCTCATCTCATTAATCTCGTATTTCCCTCGGAGAGAAAAGGTGGGAGAGAGGGATGCCAGGAAAGGAGTCAATAAGGTGGCATGATGTCTTGGTGACCAGAAAGCCAACTGCACAACACACAACACCCTCTTCCCTCTGAGAGGTATTCAGGGAGGGGCCCTGGACCCCCTGGGAGAGAAACGCCAAGCTCAAGACAAGGGCAGAGCAACAGACTTTATTATCAAGGGAGGGGCACATTCTTCAGAAAGAGGAGGAGAGAAGCAAGTTCAGAGGACAGAGAGGAACCAACTGCGTGACATTCAGCTGGTCTTTCTGGAAAAGGCGTTTTTGCACATGGAGAAGATGGAATCAAAAGATCTCAGCTCAGGTTTCCGTTCAATGGGGAGCCCCCCTAACTCCATCTTCAGACATGGCTTAAAAGGGTTTCCATTTGCAGAGGAAAGGATATGTGCGGCCACAGCCTTTAGCAACCCATTTCTTGTGCCCTGAAAGAAAGGAACATGGGTGGTGATCAACTTTAGAGCCCAATATGGCCCAGGATTGGGCTACTTGCAGACCATCTGTTCTCAAGTACATCTGCCTGCCCCACGCCCACTCATGGGTGGCATCAAGTGCAAACAGCTTCCACACACAAGAATCTAGTCAAGTAACGGCCAAAGCTAAATGGGCACTAGATAAGGGTCAAGAGAATTCAGAAGGACTGGACCTAGGTCTCTCGTGGTGACACAAAGACTTCAAACAGATGGCATGTTTAACTCCGCCTTCCAGCTCCTCTCCCACAAGTGGGGTGCATGCTGCAGCTCCCCTCATCTAAGCCTTGCCATCTGGTGGGATCTGGGAAGGGCCCCTTTTCTGTGGCTGCCTCCCTGCTCCAGAACAGTCTTCCTGCTGAGCTAGAGCAGACTCAGCTCTTTCATCAAGGGAGTTAAGACGGGGGTCTTCCCTCAAGCGTTTGGTCTCTGCTTGGGGGATCCTGGGAGCTGAAGGCCACGCTTCTTAAAGGTGCTAATCTTGAAAAACACTGTATTGATCTATTCTATTCAGATTCTATTTAAAGTGAAATACAGTTGATGTTTTAGATTATAGGCTTATTCTTCTTGTTGTATGTCACTCGGGGTCACCTTGATTGAGCTGGGTGGCCGGGTAAATATAAATGTTTGAAATAAAACCAGGCATTCACAAAGCTCTCTCCTGCCTTCCCTTCCCCATCTTCCTTTCCCCTTCCTGCCTTCCCTTCCCCTCCCTTCCTGCCTTCCCTTCCCTTCCCCGTCTTCCCTTCCCTTCACTGCTTTCCTGGAATTACAGACGCAAACTCCATCCATACTAAGGAACGATGGATTCTCATACTGACCAGATGCAAGAGAGAGACCGACGCAAGTGTCATTTTTAAACTCAATTTTGGGTTCATCACAGCTCCACTTTTTATACGTGGATCGTGTCCCATCAGTCCAGCGCCATCCAGTTTCCTGTGCAATGCAGAATAAAGCATGTTAAGGTGGGTGAATGGGGAACGTGGGGAGGGGGGGCTGATAAAAAAATTCAAATTCCAATTCTAAATTTAGGTTAAATTAATTTAAAGGGGGAAGTCCTGCTAATTAGGCTTTTGTGCAAGCAAGCACCACACGGACGTTATCCTAAGTCATTCTTTCGATTGTCCTAGGCAGAGACCCAGTTAGGTCCTTTGGATGCAAAAGCGGCATATAAGTGTATAAGGGCTATTGCGATTGCGATGCATAGAATCCAAGGTTCCTGGGGCTATAAAGATCCCTGAGCCTTTGAGTCCAGCGGTGTCGCGATTCCGTGCCAGCCTGTGTTCCCAACAGCTGAGTCTGGGGAATCTGAGGAGGGGGTGGGTTTGGGGAGCCATCAGAGTCAGGCTCTGATGAATTACAAGACTCACAATCTGATGAAGAGCCTGGCCCCTCCAATCATGGTCAGGATGAGACACAGCTATGTGGGGAAGATGAGTCAGACTTTGAGGACTCACAGCTGGAGGTCATTACAGACTGAAGGCAATTAACTAGAGCAGGTCAGAGGGAGTCAATAGGGCAACTCCAAGGCAGGAGGAGAAGGCATTGAGAAGCCACGCCTTGGGGCTGCTTAATAAAAAGGGAAGGTGTGGGCGGTGCTGGTTGCTGAAGGCAACCGTTTGTAAAGAACTTCCAGGGATCATGGTCTGTTTGTTTTACCGATGAATTTCTTGTTTAACTCCTGCTCTGTTTGCTTTTTTAACCAATTATCTGTTGGAAAAGTATTCTGTTGTTTTTGTTTTGGAGAAAACTTATCAGGACTTTTTTTGAAATAAAAAGGGATTGGTTTTCCCAGTCTACTGTTAAAGAGGGGTTTGTTCTTGTGACGCAACAAGGACGGACGTAGGCTGGGACAGAACAAGCGGCCTGCTCAGTGTGGGAATCCAGGTTAAAACACAGGTAGTCCTCGCCTTAAAACCACAACAGAGCCCAAACTTTCTGTTGCTAAGTGAGAAATTTGTTAAGTGGGTTTTGCCCCGTTTTACGACTTGTCTTGCCACATTTGTTGAGTGAATCCCTGCAAGTGTTGAATTAGTCACACGGTTGTTAAGTGAACCTGGCTTCCCCCATTCACTTTGCTCGTCAGAAGGTCACAAAAGGGGATAACGTGACCCCCCTGGGACACTGCGACCGTCATAAATGTGAACTGGTTCTCAAGCATCCGAAGGTAAATCACGTGACCCTGGGAATGTTGCAACCGCTATGGGTGTGAAAAACAGTCACAGGTCAATTTTTTTCAGTGCCCTTGTAACTTTGAACGGTCACTAAATGAACTGTTGTGTCAGGAACAGCAATGGGACGGTTCTTAGATACTACACCACATGGTCTATCTACCCATTAACATGGGACAAGACCAGCATCAGGGACGGGGATGGAACAAGGTGGCTGGGCTATTCAAGGATGGTGTAAATCACTACTCAGGAAACAGCTGTTCAGAACAGCTGGTGGCTCAGAGCCAGGAGGACCAAGGACTCACCATATATTGGAGTCCAATCCAGACCAAATCACCCTCCAGGTTTTCTTTGGTGACATAAGCACCGATGCTTTTGACCTGCTTGTCTTTTGTCAGAGATGCTAAATGGCCTCTCCATTGGAATTGACACTCTTCCTGCAAAGAGAGAAGAACCAAAAATATCTCAGCACCAACAAACCAGGCTGTCAATTGCAGGTCTGCTACAACCCGGGGGTGTCTTGCAGTCTGGGCAGACAAGGTCCTCCCAACTAGGTTCCTGCCCTTGAAGGTCTCCTAAGAGGGGCTGCAGATGCGAGCATGACTTTCTTGCCCAACAAGGAAAAATAAAGAAAAAAATATATTGGGGAAGATGGCTCTCGGGCTTTGGAGCAAAGTGTGAAAGTGGTGTCAGCAGTGGGATACCACACAAAAAAGTGGGACATCCAAACAAGGTGTGGAAGGGAGAGAGAAGAGGGAAGGAGGTGTGTGTTTGTGTGTGGAAATAAAGAGACACCCTGAGAGACAAGGGCCCACTTTGAAGGAGCATGGCTTGAACTTTTGAAGGTACAGCAGTCCTCGTTTAACAACCACAACTGGAACCAGCAACTCAGTCATTTAGCGAAGCGGTTGCTAAGTCAACTCCAACTGTCATAAATGTGAGGATTAGCCATAAAGATACCTTTTCATCACTGTCCTAACTGTGATTGGTTGCTAAGTGAGGAACCCCTGTTAACCCTGTGATTGTTGGCCTTGTTCCCACAACATAGACAAGACAGTAGCTGAGTTGCACAACCTGTTAAATCACACACCACCCAATCCCATTTAAATGTAGCAGGAGGATGTCTTATTCCAGTTCTGCTTCCTTTAACGAATTTCACTCCAACATTGAAGTGAAGCCAGCCCATGAATCCCGTTCAGATTTATTATCAAAGTACTAAACTGAAGGGAGTTCTAGAGAATTATTAAAGTATTTTATTTTACTCTTTCTTTTAGACTTCTATCTTTTTTCTAAAGGAGAGTCATGCAGCAGGTGCTCTTCATTTTAAAAAAATGAGATGGACATTTTGGCGTTATAAAGTTTGGAAAAACTCTGGGCCAGCTTAAGGGAATCCTTCCCGCTCACGTGAGTTACCTCAGGTGAGTTACCTCAGGCGAGTTACCTCAGGGGGCTTACCTCAGCATCAGTAAAGGTGAACCGATCTTCATAGAACTTGTAGCAATACCACTGGCTTCCGTCTTTATCAGCAAAGGTGCCAGGAGGGCAGACGGTCCGAACCTTTGGACCTGCTCAGAAAACAGAATAAAAATGGACTTTTTCCCCATGGACACCAACAAGGTAGAGAAATCCTTGAGCAAAAGAGAAATATGTAACTACTCAATAAGCACTCCAGAGAAGAAAAAGATTTTATTCCATGAAGGAGTGACTTAAACTCAATGAGTCAATTGGAATTAAGGTGGATTTTTATCAGTTTGAAATTTGTAATTCGAAGAAAATCTTAATGCAAAATGGGTTTGAAAATGCATTTTTCCCTTTATATATAAACTTAAGTAATTCCTAAAGCTTGTGAAATACTATTGAAAGTGTATTTGAAAGTATCTATGTTAAGAGAAAGTTAAAGAAAAAGATGTATTAGCTTAAAGAGAAGTTCAGAGTTTTAAAATGGATTTTAAAAAAGTATTTTTTCCCTTTAAGGTTAAAGAATTTGAAAGAATACAGTGAATTTTGTTAATATAAATAGAGATAGTTTATAAAGATTATTAAATGCAAACAGAAATATATATTATTTCCACAGCAAGGAAGATAAAGCAGAAATGATTAAACTGATTGCTTAAGAGGAGAATATATTTAATTATGTTTTTTATTTGGGCATCACTTCTGGATTTTGTGCTTGAGATGAAAAAAAAATGAAACTTTGACTTTGGTTTTGCAGATTAAATCAATTTGTTATAGAAATGGCTGGTTATATACTAATGTGTAAAAGTAAAGAGTTGAGGCTGCCATGTTGTTATCTTGTACTGTGTTAAAAAGAGTTGGAAGTCAACACTTTTTTGCTTTTTTTCCTTGTACCCCATATCTTCTTTCCCCCTCTTTTTTCCTTCCCCTAATTTCCTATTTTTATTTTTCTTTGTATTTTATGTTTGAGGAAACAATAAAAGCCATGAATCCAAAATTAAAAACTTGAAATAAAAATAGAAAAACAGAATGAGAAAGCAAAGAGAACAAAGCCAGAAGTGAGGGATGCAGCGTGGGTCTTGGGTTTTAGAAGAATTAGAATGGAATAGAATAGAGTAGAGTAGAGTAGAGTAGAGTAGAGTAGAATAGAATAGAATAGAATAGAATAGAATAGAATAGAATAGAATAGAATAGAAAAGAGTAGAGTAGATAGAGTAAAGTAGAATAGAGTAGAGTAGAGTAGAGTAGAGTAGAGTAGAGTAGAGTAGAGTAGGGTAGGGTAGGGTAGGGTAGGGTAGGGTAGGGTAGGGTAGGGTAGGGTAGGGTAGGGTAGGATAGGATAGGATAGGATAGGATAGGATAGGATAGAATAGAATAGAATAGAATAGAATAGAATAGAATAGAATAGAGTAGAGTAGATAGAGTAAAGTAGAATAGAGTAGAGTAGAGTAGAGTAGAGTGGGTAGGGTAGGGTAGGATATAGTAGAATAGAATAGAATAGAATAGAACAGAACAGAACAGAACAGAACAGAACAGAATAGAATAGAATAGAATAGAATAGAATAGAATAGAATAGAATAGAATAGAGTAGAGTAGAGTAGATAGAGTAAAGTAGAATAGAGTAGAGTAGAGTAGAGTAGAGTAGAGTAGAGTAGAGTAGAGTAGGGTAGGGTAGGGTAGGGTAGGGTAGGATAGAATAGAATAGAGTAGAGTAGAGTAGAGTAGAGTAGAGTAGAGTAGATAGAGTAAAGTAGAATAGAGTAGAGTAGAGTAGAGTAGAGTAGAGTAGAGTAGAGTAGAGTAGAGTGGGTAGGGTAGGGTAGGATATAGTAGAATAGAATAGAATAGAATAGAATAGAATAGAATAGAACAGAACAGAACAGAACAGAACAGAACAGAACAGAACAGAACAGAATAGAATAGAATAGAATAGAATAGAATAGAATAGAGCTGGAGGGGACCTTGGAGGTCTTCTAGTCCAGCCCCCTGCTCAAGCAGGAGAATCTATACCATCTCAGTTTTAGTGGACAATTAATTTTCCCAAGGGGCTATATGAGAAACCGGGACTGTTGTGGAGGGCCAAACTAATAGGACTGTGAAGGTCCATAGGCAAGCATGCACGCACATACGTAAATTGAAAATAAAAAGTTGCCTTCAAGATAATACAATGCAGTTGTATTGCATGCACGACATACATTTATTTATATTTGATTTCTAATTTCCAATTGACCTCATATGGGCCAGGCAGAGAGAGCCAAAGGGCCAGATCTGGCCCAGGGTGTGTAAAATGCCCAGGTCCTGTTTAGTGGAGAGATGCCAGCCTCATCCTGTACATACCAGTATTTGGTATGATATAATCCATATAGTCAGAAACGGAGGCCTTCTGGAACTCTCTGCCTTTCTGGATCTGTGTAAATGGATCATAGCTAGAAATAAAGGCTCCCTCATTAAGAATAAAAGCAATACAATTAGCCGAGCTCTAGATAAATGGAGAAACAGGATGGAGGTGGGATATATGGACTGTGGAGTGCTGGCAACAACTTACCTGCCCAGGTAAGGCTGCCCAAGACACCAAAGATGAAGCAAGTGATGAGAAACATCTCTAGACCTGAGGAGAGAAGCAGAAGTTGAGAAGAACCCTGAAGGTCCAAACCAGGGTGTTAGATCGCGCCGGCAGTAAGACACGAGTCGAGTGACAGTCAGCTCTTGGTTTATTGGCAAGGCATGAAGTAAATCTGGACTGGCTCTCTGGGCCAGGGGAGCCCTCTTTTATGGGATTCCCCTGGCTTGTAATCACACAATTCCATTGGCTGGTAAGACCCTGTTGCTAGTTAGCCAACCAGCAACGGGCATGAA